AATGTCAGTTCGGTAGAGATCAGCGGTATTCTGGGGATAAATACTTTGTCCTTTGTCCTTTCCAGTCATAAGTTTGTCTTCGATGATGTTATTTGATAGCTGTTTGACGATCATCCTTGTTCCATTACATAGTTTTGGTGAGTTCAGTTCAGATTTCTGAGTAGTATGGTCGGAGATCCAATTTTCAGTCGAAGGCAGTGTAATGGCATTCCTGGTACTTGCAAACAGTTTAGAAATTCTGTAGGGAAGTTGGCACTTTCTTCAACGTTTACCATCGTGTCGATCAATTTGTATATTCTATCCTCACCGGGGATTTTCTTTTGAATATTAAAGTTGATATCGTCGACAATACTATTTTTAGTTCCCAAAATTGCCCTTTGAAGTAGCCATTCCAGATTGGTATAGTTGTGAACAATGTTTGGATAAATTTGGTCGATGAGTTAATTTTCAGTAGTGGCTATGTTGCAAAAATCACTGTTGAGTTCAATGAGGCTGGTTGTCTGGTCAGTGAGATATATGCCTTTGCCTATTTGTAAAAGTTTTTGAGCAAAATGTGCTGCTGTTTTGTCTTTCGAGAGTTCAACTCTCATATTTTTTGTTAGTCGCAGTATTTGTATGTGTGGCCAGAGATGTGATTTTTTTAAGCATGCATTGATCTCGTCTGCTGGTGTTGAATTGGGGAAGTGTTTGTCGAAAATTTCAAACGTTCTAAATGTTTCTAATAACGGAATTTTCACTTCTTTTTCAGTTCTTCCCTTTGTCACTGATAAGAAACTGATGTTCAAACCCACGACGGATCTTTCTTTATATACTCCCACCAATAGGTAGTCCCACCCATACAAAAAAGCTTCGAATGGTCCACAATGTTCCAGAACATTCCACAACATTCGAGAGTGTTCTGGAATGTTCCACAATGATCTGGGATGTTCCTGAACGTTCCAGAACATCCTGGAACATTCTGGATTGTTGTGGAATGCTTTCAAATACTCTTGAATGTTCTGGACTGTTCTAGAAATGTCTATAGGGCAAAACTTCCAGCCCTTATATCTTCAACAGCTTGCCCTTCAGGTAAAAATGGGAACCTTCTTCATGGATGGGGGATAGAGGGCTACCATACCATATAACTCCCTTGATCATACCAGGACTCGTTTTTGAGTTTTAGTGGCACGCACATTTTACACTTACCTTTATAATATATATTGAATTGATTACTTCAATGTTGGAAAAATAATGAAAAATTGAGTTTTCAATAGAAAGATATATAATTTATTATTTCTGTAATGAAATTTAAATACAAAAAATTATTTAAAGTAAAATACTTATGAGTTTAATTCATAATGTCTTATAAAAAAATCCTTGACATAAATTAGTGGTTTCATGTTGTGATTTTGACTGGGAATGCAGATATAAAAAAAACTTATTTTAAATCACAGAGACCAAACACTAATGATTATAAACTGTTTTAGCAGGTAAGATACTCTGTATCTAAGGAAGGGTACAATAAAATAATTAACAGATAGTAAATGGTTTTCAGGTGGTTTTCTGAGAAACAATATTCTTGAATGGTAAACAAGGTAATAAATACATAAGCTTGAGGAAAGGGAAATGCATCAATTAATGTATTTTTTGGTACGTAATCGGTTATCCGAAAAATAAGTTATCCGAACAACCCGTCCCCAAATGATTCGGATAAACGATGCTCTACTGTAGTTAGAAAATTAATAGGGTTATTCCAATGACTGAAGACATCTGTGGACAAAAACAGCAGCTTGGATGATATGACAAAGACTCATTTTATACTGAATGGGTCTAAATGTACAATAAATAAGTTCTTGCTGTTTAATGTTACCACAAATTGAGAAAACCCTTTCACTATCAGTTGATGTAGGTTTGATAGTTTAGAATGTTTCTCTACATTTCACTATGTTTGCATGTCAACACTGTCATTTTAATTTTTTCTGCTTTGAAGTTTACTTTTACTATTGTTTGAATATTAATTGTAACAGTTCGAATTATATTCTAACTTTGGCTCATTTCTTCCTGAAGCTTTGAAGCCTAAAATTCCAAAAAATTCAAAGCTTTGAAGGCTTTGATTGATATCCCTATTTTACCCAGATATAACAATGTCCCACTATGCTCAAGATACAACTGCTGCTTTTGACCAGTGTGATATGGTACATATTTCTTGAAAACAATGTCTGAAGCCAATGATGCTAGCCAATTTTTTTCATATGTTCAGTTGTATGAATAAAATTAAGATGAATGGACCAACCTAGCCTTGTGCCCTCAACAACTTTATTGACATTAAAGACATCTATAGGGAATTGAAAAGTTTGCTGTAAAATTAGTATCTGGTGGCTTCACCTAGCATTTACTGCCATTACCTAACCACTTGGACTTTCTATGTATACGTTGTTTTATGCTCTTATATACAGTTCCCTGCAGTCACATAGGAACTCTTTCCTCTTCCAATCCCACTTCTCCTATTCTTCCCTTTTCTCTTAAGGCATATATTAGCAAGTCCAGCCTTTTCTTTCCTCCTTGTACTCATTCATTTGTGTGACAAAAGTGTGACAAATAGTTGTACAAGCTATGATGGCTTAATAGTAAATTGTAATCTCATCAGTTGAACTTGTTGGGAGAGGGGTTTGCTTCAGAAAATTGTTTTGTACACACATTACATCAGTGATTCCCAAAATTTTTTGAGCCACTATCCCCTTAGTTACATAAACTTATATCCAACACTCCCAATCCATTTTCTCTTATGCGAGAAAGGCTTGGAAATATTCTTAGAAAAACTTTTCTATGAACTTCACATTTTGTGTCCTTAACAAATATTGTTCTTTACATCTAGAAACCATTAAATGTAATGTTTCTTATTACCTGTTTCAACAGAGAAAAGGAAAAGGTTGTTGGTGATCTCAACCCTTGCCTGTTGTTATCATTCAGTAGCCTTTTTCCAGTGCTCCCTGCTGCCTACTTTCTTAATTTTCTCCCTTTAGATTTACTCACTGCCTATGGGGGCAGTAGCACCCACTTTGGGAACCACTACATTACATACACATACTATATACAGACTATATGATATAGGTCTATATGCAAAAATCAAGTAATCTTACCAGTTGTTTTCAAAGAAATGGTAGTAGCCACATATATTGTATTCTTTATTTTTATCATGATATTCTTGAAGATTAATTACTCAGACATGGATAATTTTCAGTTTGATCAATCAAGTGTATAACTTTTCCATTGTCCCAAACAAACTTGCAGGCTGCCATGTTTGTCTTGAATGAAGATCATGTGTCTCCTATATACCTTTTCCTTGAAGAAACTGTCATGTGAGTTTTGTCTGAGACAGTTAGTGTTATCTACTTAAAAATTGTATTGCAAAAGAGTCATACAACTATCATAAGACTAATTAAATTTCCAATTTCTTACCAACACACCTGATTTATTATACAGCTAAATCATACAAGAAAAATCAGCTACTGTGTCGTTGGTTTAATGTACACACAATCTCATATTCTCTAGAATACTACACAATAGCTATAGTAAATGACTTTATTAAATGTTATAAAAAGATGATCATATCATATATAGTAATCATTAACATTGATTATTATACATACTCATCTTAGTACAAAAATCTTATGGTATGATACTTTTCTAATGATCACAGGACCTTTTTCACCATCTGACATTGTTTTTATTTACATATACTATGTCAGATTTACAACCAGGTCATCAGAGTAGATGTCTGTTGTAAGTCATGGTATATCTGTATTATAATTTTACATTATCTTTCAAATTTAGATTATTTTACGACTGTAATAGTAATTCCATGAAAATTTTCAACATTTGAAGAAGCGTAAGTAATATTTGAAATACTTTGTTTTGATGTTGAAAGTTTTTTTTACAAAGGTCTTTAATATGGAATCAATGATTCTTATTGAAATTCAATGATTTCATATTGAAAAAAGAGAAATTTCCTAAGGAAAGGACAATATAGAATGTTTAATATCACTTTGAAAATCAGAAGACATTTGTGTTTTCAGTACTTATGGAATAATTCAATATATTTAAACAAGACTTTTCTTAAAGAGAAAATATACTAAATTTTGTGGTTATTATTGTTACATAAGTACTTAATTAATTTTGATAATACATATAATTAAATTGGAACTGAAGAATAGAAGATTTTGTACAAGCAGTTTTAACATATTAATGGTCAGCTCTTAAATCCAGTATTTTTTTGTAGTCTTAATTGCATTTTTACAAATTAATTTTTTAAATGCAACATAATGTTTAATTTTAAAGCAGTTTATAAAGACACATTTTCCTGTATAGATATGTTACAGTATAAACATTTTTATTAGGGCTGATCCATTGTCAAATGTAATCAGTGATCCAAAATAAAATTCAAATTCATTAACTAAATGAGCAGTAAATATTCAGATTACAAATTTAGTATGTTTTTAAAATATCAATACAATAGCATAGAGATGTGTTTGCTGTGAAATTTTAATACAGACAATACAGTTTAAAATTTTAAATTATATTGTGTTTATATTTTTGTGTTACTATAGTATAAAGAGTATGGTATGTAGTTTTCAAATACAGTAGTGTGTTAATTGTTGTATTTGTATTTAAATTAGCAAAATAATGAAAATTTTTATTTTTAATCAATATTTATGAATTCAATACTTTTAAATTTATTGGAACTCTACAAATTGGATGTTTTTTATCAGAAATATTTGTAACAAATTGATCTCCAGAATAAATCATTTAGTTGCTATCTAATTTAAATTTTTATTTATAATTTTGGCTTTTTGTATATCTTAACATTTTAATATGTAAGTTAACTTTTTTCTGTTTTTTTGAAATTGAAAGATGCATTATTCTTAGTGAATAGTATGATCAAAACGTTCTTACTTCTTATCTATTTAGCAAAAGATGGTATATGTAAAAAAAATATAATCACTAATTTTATAATTTTATAGAAATGGTAGAAGCAATGAAGAAAGTTGCATCATTGGATGTAGAACTAACTGTTGAAGAGAGAAATTTATTATCTGTGGCTTATAAGAATGTAATTGGAGCCCGGAGAGCTTCATGGAGAATTATTAGCAGTATTGAGCAGAAGGAAGAAAACAAAGGATCTGAAAACAGGCTAGAAATGATCAGGCAGTATAGGTTACAGGTAACAATATCAACAGGAAATTTAAAAATTTTCATTAATCTTAATATAGTATTTTTTGTTTTTAATTAAATTTAAATTTTGTATAATTTATTGTAATACAGTAGAGTCCTGAAAACTCAGCCTAATGTGGACCGAAGGGTGGCCGAGTTTGTGAAAATGCCGGGTTATCAGGAATGGGGTTAAAAAAGAATAAGTACGAGTGTTTCCTCAGAAAATACTATACTGTACTTGTATGTATTGTTTGCTTGAGAATACAACAGAGAATAAACTGCCCAAATACCTTTAAACAAAGGAAAAGTGTGTACTTTATGAAGGCATACAGCCTTTACTACATGAAAATGAAAATTAATGAATACACAGTGTACAGTAATTTACCTGATAAGACAGACCTCAGAAAAATACTTTGAGGCATAAAGCTGTCTATAATGAAAATTAACTAGGTGTTTTTTCGCCCTGCCAGGGTGTGGCTGAGTTATCCGAACTGCCGGGTTATTGAGTGCCCGAAACCTCGGCACTTGATAACCCAGCGGTCCAGAAAATTTTTAATAATTTGTCCAACACTAATTTTATTGTAAATCTGTTTTGTTTCAAATAAACTTAATGTTCATATGATAATTTGTTAATAGCTACAAGGAAAATGTTTAATTTGAATCAATTTAAGTTTTAATCTAGAATCAAAAATCATTAACAGTTTAAGAAATTAAACTTAAAATCTATCTTTAAATCAAAATCTATGAAAATTGTGAATTTCTAGAGGAAACTAAAAAAACAACTTAATAAAATAGTAATAATAGATGAACATATTGGAAATTAAAATAACTAGTCAATGAAATGAGAAGACTTCTATTACAATATTTTTTGTTACAAAGAGTAATAGCTGAAACAATTTGTAATTTATATAATTTCTTATTATTACTACTACAATCTAAAAATTATTTACTCAATTAATTATTGATAATCCTACACTGATTAATCTATGAGATAAAAATAATTAAGCTATAAAATTTTTAGTGCTAAAGGAAAAAATAATCCTTTAATTTGACACAGTGATTGCTTAAGATACATTATAACAATTGTCTCCAACCTATGACGTGTACCAAATATTACTCCCAAATCATATATCTGTCCCAAGTAGCTTTTACTGTTTTAAGTGTTTTACATGTAGCACTTACAAGTTTTATAATCAAATCAACATTTGATATAAACTTAAAGCATATAAACTTTTGAAAGATCAACTAGAATTATTGGATCTTTCTGCAAATAATTTTTATAAAGACATATTTAAAGGAGTTTGTTAAATTTTTTACAAATCTGTCAGATCATTGTTTTAAATCTTAGAAATTACTGCTCCCCATGTAAATTTTCTTTTTTACCTTTACAAACAAACTGTCAAAAAGAAATATATAAAATCAAAATTTAAACATCACTGTCCAATGAACAGAAAAAAAAAATTTCTCCAATTATCTCCAATTTTTATTATATTCTTTTGAAAAGACAGGTATAAATTTCACATTTTATTTATCTGTTGTTACTCAGAAATAAAAATCATCTTTATCTTTGCTTATATTTTTCATATCTGGCCCCAGATTTTTTTCCAGTTTCTTATGAACAGACTTGGAAAAAACAGATTGTAGCCCCCTGTATCATAAAAATAAAATGCAATAAATAATTTTTAAAATGTAATTTTTCTTTTAAAAAGTAAATCATTAATTCTAATAGATGTTAATTAAAATTTCAATTTTAGAGAAATCAAAGAAAATGTTTTAAATATGGATTTATTTAACAATTTTTTTTTAATTATATTAATTTTTCAAAATATTTTAAAATTTTAAGAATTTCTTTGAAACTTTTAAACAATTACGTTAGAAAAGTGGTTTTTGGATTTTTCAAGACAGACTTTTTGTAAAACAGATCTTATGCCTTTACACTTTTCATCAAAGAAAATTATACATTCCATCCTTATATTTTTATGTATTTTATTAGAATAAAACTAATATTTTACTATAGCTTTGGTCATATACAATTATATTTGATACAAAAATAAAATAGCATACAGAGAAATTGCTAAATGAAATAAAATTTTGTTGTAATGTGAATGTTGCAGTCACAGCTTCAATGATAACTTACAATGTAATAATTTTAATCAAGTGAACCTGTTAGTAGTATAACAAATGTTTTTAATGCTTTATTGTATTGAAGCTAGTGGATAGAATATCAATTATTGTGAGACCTAGAAATCAAAAATAAACATTCATATTGATATGTTTTCCTGCTAGAAAATATTGTGTCCTGCTTGGGAGGTACACTAGAATGGTCATTTTCTAATTTTCAGTCTTTGTAACTTTAGTGAGCTAATTACTGTAGTAATTCACAGTAGAAGTGACTGTTATGTAGAAGAAAGTGTAGACTAATTTTTAAATTATAATCTTTATATATTTTTCTGAATATTACAGTAGAGCATCAATTATCCGACTCAATTGGGGACTCAGGTTGGTCGGATAACTGAAAAAATCGGATAACCGAAAAGAACGAAAAAAAATACATTACTATAGTATATTAGTATATCGCTATTAACCAACTTTGCATTGAATTTTCATCAATGTTAAGCCTAACAAATTTTTTTTTTTAATAATAATCGTCGCTATTGTATCGTTAAAAATTATTTTTAAATTATTTTATTGCTCACAAAACAAACAACCACTCATAATTAGAAAATTAAGTCTCGTTTAAATACTGGCCTCCCTTCAATGGTCAAGCCATGTTGCCAGCGCTAAAACACTCAAAAATTTAACAAAAATAATATTAAAGCAGCCAAGACATAGCTAAATATTGTAGTGCCATATCACTAGCGGACATTTGAAATTTGCCGACTAGAACAGTCTGTTAACCGATGTGACGGATAATCGATGCTCTACTGTAGTAGTTTCTTGTTGCAATATAATGTTCAAAAAATTAATTTTAAAAATTTAGAAAATGACAGTTTTATTATAAATATACAGTACTATGGATATAGTGAAAATGGCTTACAAAAAGCCATGGAACAGATTTTGAATATCACCATTTTATATACTACTAATAATTTTCTCAAAGACTGTCAAAGTGACATGCTTGTCATTCCAAATGGCAATCAAATCACTGATCTTTCTTTTGTCTTAAGGTATGATATTTGCTTTAAAAGCTTTAAAAATTGCTCTTTTCATATTTTTGGATGGACTAAAATTAAAATGAAGGAGTGTCAAATTAATCTTGTTTATTTCCATAAAGTAACTTTATGAATTAGTAACAACTTCAGAAAGATCTAACTGTATAATAATAATTATATTAACATTGTAATAACAATGCATGAAATATTTATCAAAATGAAGTTTAAGTTCCAGTAAAGTTCCCAAATTCAATTTAATTAATAGGAATATTTTTACTATTATTCATGAACATTTCTTGCCTGCAAAGATCCATGAACTCAGGCTGTTGAAATTGATTATAAATGTTTATTTGTTCTAATAATGATACTGCTGAACAGTTTTATTTCACCAATGCATGTCTGTTCTGATTCAAGTCTGTTGTATTTTGAATGTTAATTTTTTTATTGTATAGTTTGTCTTCATTGTAGCTTTAATTATTTCATATGTGAGTGTGCTGTACTTGCAATTACTTGTATCTTTATTATTATTATAAATTTTGGTAGAATGTTATGGAACTGTGAAAATTTTTTTCCTCTTATATTCAGTATAATTTTTCTTGAAATGATTCATTAACTATATACAACTGAATTTGACTTGATTAGTAGAATTTTAAAGGAATTTGGAGATAGCTTTCAAGAAAATTTTTTAATCAAAGCTATTTTTATTTTTTCTCATCTAAAACTAGAAAGATAATATCTTATTAGGTTAAGACATTTCTATAAGTATTTTATACAGGTTTAATTTTTTTTTTCTTTTTTTGTTTGTTCAATAGAAAACATTTTTATCAACATGCATTTATTATTTTGTGGTCTGAGATTAAATATCAGAAATTTTTTTACAGAATTTTATATTTAAAATCATAAATAATTCTTTCATTAACAAGAGAATAAGATATTTATTCTTTTCTTCCAGCATATTGTAAATTAATTAGTAATAGATAGAATTATTAACTATTTAATGAGTTAAGTAGTAATAAATTTCACAAGTACCAGCTTGAAGGTAACTTGCACCTAAGGCAAAACTGATTTTTGCTGCCCATACTTCTAGAGTGATTGCAGTAGAGTACTTTTAGCACTAGTACTGTTATATGAGTTTTTTAAAACAACTTTAAAAAATAATAAACTTTTTACAAACCTATAATCAGCGTGAAATATGTTCAATTGCTTACGCTAACATGGTTATAGGTTTGTAGAAAGTTTATTATTGTATTCTTCCGGCGTGTGTCGATTATTTATTTATACAACTTTAAAAAAGCATTCATGAGACTTTATTGTATTCAGCTTATTTTTTCTCCTACCTTTTGAACATTTTTGATTCCTCTTTTTGCTGCTTGACACAATTGCCTCATTGCCCCATCTATTGAGTTGGTGTTGAATTCAGCTAGTAAAATTCTTTTATATAATTCCTTGTAGCCTTGCTTATTATGAAAGTCTTAATTGACTATTTTTAAAACGATATTGATTATGATTTTTTAATAGGTGGAAGGAGAATTGAGAGAGATTTGCCAGGATATTTTGGATGTTCTGGGAAAACATCTTATACCAACTGCTACTACTGGAGAGTCGAAAGTATTCTATTATAAAATGTAAGAAATCTTTCATTCAAAATTGCTAAAATTTTAATCAGTAATAAATTAAAAATTTTTGACTATTAATTCAGTAAATATAATTGTTAGACAAACATGAAAATTACTTTTACAAAATTAAACCTTATACAATAGTTTGAATCACTGATGTGAAATGTTTAGATCATTTACACATTAAATTATTAAGATGAGTATTTTCTGCAAAATGACTTTTCCTAGACAAAAGTAATGTATGTCCTTATAGTTTAAAATTGTAAAAAGTATGCCCTTATGATTTAAAATTTCTGTAGAAATTCAACTGTATATACTTATACATATATATCTAAATATATAAAATTGCTTGTCCTGACTGACTGACACTCATTCACTGACCGATTCATCATCACCCAAAGCAAACCGCTTAACCTAAAGAGGTGAAATTTGGTAGACAGTTAGGCTATATCATGGAAACGCACACTTGGAAGGTATTTTTCGAAATTCCCCAGCGGGGGAGAGGGAGAGCATTAAGGCTTAACTGGAAGAATGGCTTCTACTGTACTATTTTACATGCGATTTTTTGTTATGTTTAGTCTTCATTAAGTACTTAAGTGTATTAAATTAATAACATTTAAGACATTGTTATAAATATTTTTATGTATATTTCGATTTTTTAACTAAATGTTCGAACCTTTTTAAATTCAAATTTGTTATTGGATATTGGTTCGATTATAGAACGATTGTAAACATTCCATAAAATTGATCAAATTGAAAATAGTTTGTTTGATTCTCAGCAATTCTCATCATTCTCGGTGGTAGGTGTTATATAACAATTACTATGGTTGTTGAAATACTGAATATAAATGGGGTTTGCTTGCAAAACCTCCGCGGGCAAAGTTGCGGGTAACAGCTAGTATATATATAAGGTCTGATTGAATAGTAGTGAGACTAATTTTACTATAAATAAATTATTCAAAATTGTTACATTTTGATGTTAATTTCCTCCAAAGTAAGTCCCTTCATACATAATGCACTTAATCCATCTTTTTCCATTCCTCATAGCATTCCTGGAAAGGCATTTTCATCAAACTGTCTGTTATAACTTTTTGGATGTTTTCAGTGGTTTCAAAATGATGACCTTTGACTTCTAATTGTCATTTAATCTCATATGTTCAATGGATCTGTAAGAATGATAGTCCACACGTGTTCAACACTATCGCCCAAAGTTGAAGGATGTCCTGATCTTGACCCATCCTTTACCAATTCTCACTCTTCTGAAAACATTTAATGCCAGTGAAATACTTGAGTACATGATGGAACTTCATCATCATATGCAGTTTTTAATGTATCATAAGTTTCAGTTGTACTTTTTTTCAATTTCATATAAAGTTTCACCAGATAGCATTGTTTGATACTTTTCTCTTTAAGTTTTTATTTTAAGTACATTATTACCACCATGTAGCAGGCACAAAAAAATATAAGCTCCCCACATCTGTATATTTTATCATAAAGTAAAAAGATACTCTTGCATAAATTATGGCCATGACAAAAGAAATTTAACACACACCAGGTATTTTTAGTGAATACACCAGAACATTTTTTGCAGATAGTGTTTGCATAGAGTTGGTCCATATTGAGCAGCTCTTGTAGAGGATCAGGATGCGAAGTGAAACAAATGCTCAAGAAGTATTACAGATTTTTATAAAAAGAACATTGCTTTCAAATACATAAACATGAAGTAAAAAATTTTAAGATGAATCTGATCTTTAAATGTCTATCTTTTTAATAAAGGCTTTATTTGAAAAATATTTTTCTTAACGTATTTGTCTTAAAAGTTTATAACAGGAATTGGAAACAGCATGTGAGTGATTCAATTGAAAATTTTAGTGACTAAAAGTATTAAACTACTAATTTAAAAAAATATACAGTATACATATATATGAGATTAATCAGTAGTAGTAATACTGAGATTGAAGACAAAGTATATTTTAACAAAAACTATAAATACAAAATGAGATAGGCATTAGAGTATAGATGAAAATAACTGAATGTAAAGCAAAAGTAGTAGTAAGAAAAATGAATTAAATGAAATGAAACTGTTAACGAAATTTTTGAGAATGGTAAATCAAAATTAAATTAGACAAGACTACTTATACAGAGATAAAATCAATAACTGAATAATTGGGAGAGTTTAGATATTTACCAGAAAACAAAGCTGAATAAATGCTGTACAATAAAAAAAGTTTGGTGTGCTCTTTTTCCAGAAATTCATTTATTTAATATTTTTTCAATTCCTTTGCTAAAGACACCTTTAATTACTTGACTAAATTAGGATTATTTTAAAACACTTGTTATCTTTATCTTTTTATTTTTTATTTCTTCTCTTTCTGGAATAATTAAATATTATAATCAGTGTTTTAATTTTTTAAGTGCTGATTTTAGAAATTTATATCAAATAAAATTAGCAAATTAGTTTATTTGTTTTGTTTATCTTATAAGTATGAGCACATTTATTAATAATAAAGCTTTTTACAAATAATTTAAATCCCTGCTAACTCAGATTTCAAATAATTTGGACTGATTTAAAATTTCTCAGCTATAGAAAATCCATAATTAATATTTTCAATATCTGAAAGTCTTTGATATTGTGCATAATATTACTGTAGTCAGTAAGTTAAACTGCTGATACTGTATTGTCATTTTTGAGCTTATTTCTTATAATAAATTTAGCAGTATAAAATTTTCAATATTAAATTTTTTTTCTTTTAGGAAAGGCGATTATCATCGTTACTTAGCTGAATTTGCTACAGGTAATGATCGCAAAGAAGCTGCTGAAAACAGTCTAGGAGCATATAAAGCTGCCAGTGATATAGCCATGACTGAGTTACCACCAACTCATCCTATTAGGTTGGGTCTGGCTCTGAATTTTTCTGTCTTCTATTATGAGATACTGAATTCTCCAGATCGTGCTTGTCGTTTGGCAAAAGCTGCCTTTGATGATGCCATTGCAGAACTTGACACGCTTAGTGAAGAAAGTTATAAGGATTCCACTCTTATCATGCAATTGCTAAGAGATAACTTAACACTTTGGACTTCAGACATGCAACATGATGGTAATAATTTTTCTGTAAATAATATATATATATACAGTATAATTTCAATCTTAGTCTAAAATTTAGTTACAAAATTTATTTGTATTTATTTATTTATTAAATAACAGTATAATTATAAAAATAGAAAAAATAGTTTTAAACATTAAAAAAGTAATACTATAGCAACTTTTAATAAGTTTATTAATAAATTAACCAAATTTATTAATGCAGTGAAGTTTGCTGCTGCATATTCAACAGATGTAGCATTTCTTCAATAAAATCAAATTTACTTGTAGAAAAAATGTACACTCTAAATATTCAAATAAGAAAATGAGTTTGAGTGCATAAATTTATTTTGCATCTGATATTCTATCCTATTCTAGAATATACTTAGGCCTTATATACTTTTAATACATAGGATTCATTTATTTAAGTTATGGTTGAGAAACTTGATTTAGATTCAAAACACAATTTACTGAGTTTGAGTTTGTCTTCAGTATTTTGTACAGTTTGTGATTACATTATAAGGAATTATATTTATAATACATTTTGAAGTATTGGACTTTCTCAAATATCACATGAATAATTATACTTTTTAGGTAAAAGCTGACATATATTCTCATTTAGCAAAAAAATATTAAAGTTTTTTTGTTAGTTTTCAAATTCAAAGTTCTATATTTAAGCATTGACATTTTTTAAACAATAATATTGATCTCTCTAAAAATGTGAACTTAAACTTAATTTAAGAGTTGATTTAAAAATAAATTTGACATAAATATGACATTTTTGTTTTTAGGTGAAGGAGAACAAAAGGAACAGTTGCAAGATGTTGAAGATCAAGATGTTTCATAAACATCTCAGGATTAAACAAGATCTGTACTAATTTGTTGGTGTGAAATGCAGACTGTTTGTATTTGCATATGTTGCCATGTAGGGTATTTTGTTTCCTTTGCTCACCCCCAAATCTCCCTGTGAATATGCTATATGCAAGTGGGCACATTTTTTGTGATTGTACACTAGACCGCTTGCCTAGTTACAATATGAGTGTTTTGTGCTACTGCTAATACTAGATCTGTATCCTTTTAGAATCCATTGCACCTTTGCCAAGCAGCCATTTACAAAATTAATACCATTTTCTTACAGTTTCACTCGTGTTGTGTGTTTTGTTGTAGGCCTTGTGAATGTTCCTAGTTGTCATCATACAAGGTTATTTCTTGTACGATTTATCTTCAGTCTTTGCATATGATAAAAAAAATAACAAAAGGTAACATTTGATTTGTGTGAATTGCTTGCTGCTGCTGTAGTCACGTCACGATCAGTAACAACAGATAGTGGCTAATAGCTTGAAACCATGATTAGAACATTTTTAGAGCAAAATTGTCTTGATACATATTGCAAAGTTGGATTAGTATTAGGTAGTTTGGTTTTCTAACAAAATTATTGAATAATCTTAAATATATTTATTTCATTAATTGTTAACCATCCAAGGACCAAAATTATTTCTATGTTTATTATGTATAAATGTATTTTAATGTTCCTGTTTTTCTCCCTCTTCTACCATAAATTACTTTATATTAGAANCATTTCCCATCAAAGCGAGAGTTTTCGCAGATAAGGGAAAAACAGAGGATGTTCTAACTTCTGTGAAAGGAAGTAACATCTGTTATCTATTTTTCCCACTCTAAAACGTCATTTTTCTCACCCAAACGAAAGAATATTTTATAACAATATTTAACATTATTAATAAAATTACTGATTTTAGCCCAGGGGCCTTTCAGGTCTCACACATTCAGACATGTCTCAATGTAGCTCAAGTTTGTGAATACCCTCTGTGTATAGAGAGAGAAAGGCTGTTGGATAAACCTTTCAATTACAGCTGCTTGAATTTTGTCAGATTAGAATCTATGAGCTTTGAGAAATGTTTTTAAAGGTCTGAAAACATGGAAGTCACAAAACAGCATATTGGTGTTGCAAAATTCCTGTCTGAAGTGATGCAGCATCCTCCTTACAGTTCTGATGTGTATATCATCTTGCAGCTTTGGACTGGACTTTTTAAAAAATTTCTCAAAACTTGCAGATTTCAGTCTGACAGCAAAATGAGAGCAACTGTAACTGTGAATGGTTCATCCAGCAGTCTTCCTCTTTTCATGGAAAGTATGGACCATGAGTGTCTGAATGCAGTTGGCAGTTTTCTATGTAGCATCTAATGCAACCTTGTCATTATTCTGTATATACTTTAATGCTGCTGTTTTGACCACTAGATACCATATGTTTAATACAGTGCAGTCTGTTTCATTTGAACAACCTTATATTAACTTACATATAATTTGTTTTTCATTAAAAAAATTTTTCCAACAGGATCTTGTTTGCAGTCACAGTGTGGAAGTCCTAAAGTCAATACCCACCCTGTTATCATTGCTCCAGTTAATAAGAATTCAATTAATACCAGTGTCAACAGTTCTGTTTATAGAACATTGGTTCCCTCTAAAGTAAGATTGGTATAATTTTCATATTAAATATATTTATTTCATTAATTGTTAACCATCCAAGGACCAAAATTATTTCTATGTTTATTATGTATAAATGTATTTTAATGTTCCTGTTTTTCTCCCTCTTCTACCATAAATTACTTTATATTAGAAGCACTCTGCTCAGGGATGAAATTTATTTGAAATTTTGGTTTAAGAGGAAGTACAATTTGAATACAAGACTGCATTACTTGTGGGAATCTCGACAGCTATTTCTATACACTTTTGGAAATCTTAGTCTGTTTTTAGCATCTAGGGTAATTTTATATAACTGAAGATTGAAAGAACTTTAAGCAGAACTTTGTCTAAATAATTTTCATCTGCAGTTTATTTTTTTTAAATACATGTTAAGCTTAACTGTGAATTTTTAATTTAATAGTGCCTAACATTTTCTCGACATTTTGGTGTGTATTTTCGTCATTCATTAAAAGGAATGAAAAGGAAGTGCCAGTAGATTTGGGAACATTGTCATGAATGTAAATTTTAATAATTATAAATTTGATAATGTATTAGCAGATACAATATGTAAGTTAGATTTACATATGAACATTTAATATGAAATTCTTCCAGTTTTCTTCATTCCACATAATAGCTCGTCGTGAAATGCATTTCTTTTTTTCATTCGTGAAATATCATAAAATCATTCCAGTGTGATGTGATTTTTTTCTTCACACAAATATTTTAAGATTAGCACTTAAAAATTGTTTTGTCTTTCTAATTTTGAAACATGAATACCTTCATCTGTTTTGTGTATTTGTATAATTATTGAACTAAAGAAATCGTTTTCAAAGTTTTTCTGATACTTTAATCTTTTATTAAAATTCAATGTTGTGTGCACAAAGTGAAATAAATATCAGACAGGGCTTTCAGTATTTTCAAACATTAAGTGAAGCAATACATCTTAATTATGAGGTTCTTTGTAGGTTAATCTGTAGTCTGTATTTGAATAGAAATTCAAATCTTGTTCATATGGAAAAAATTTTTGTGATGTATAATCTGAAAGTGCAGTTAAATGGTAACGTGCACAGCATTAATAATCAATACAAAGTTGGTCACACCTATGTGGTGCACTGTAGCTCAGATATGCTGTGTATCATTCTTATGGAAATAAAATGTTTTCTGTAGTCATTCAGCTTGTGTCTTAAGTTTTTTGATATTTGATAAAAAGGATAGTCTCTCTATACAATCTTTCCATTAAAAGTAATTGTCCCTATGAATTTCTTCTGATTTTTAAATAAGATACTCTTTTTTTTAAATGATTTTGATATGTAATAATTAAGAATACTTTTGCTATTTGAAAGTCAATTGAATATCCTAAATTGTTGCACTGTTAAGTGCAAGCAAATGTTAAGGTATCTCTTATGACAAGTAGCCAAACACAAATTAAATTTTAATACACTTTCATCCATTCTTCTATTTGAAAATAAAATCTAATGAAGATAAATGGAACTTCTTTCCAAATACAATATCACGGTAAATCTCATTAACCAGCAAAAATCTTTGATTCTATTAGTGAATATGAATTTGAATAATTCCTATGTTAATATTAATTTGTGCCAATATGATAAAACTGGAAATATTTCAATCGTAGATTATAAACTATATTAATAATAAAACTAATAATTTATCTACCTACAAGTTTATATTTCTTAAGAGTAAAATTTTTGAATAACACTGAAATATTTTATATATATATATATATATAAGTAAATTATAAAAT